CAGGTGAGCGCAGCCCCGGCGCGGGCCAGGGGCGCAGGTGTGGGCGGGGGTGGCCAGGCGGGACGAAGCGGGGTAAGAGGGGGACAAGTGGGGAGCGGGCTTGCCCCGGAGCTGCTGGGGTGAGGCGCGCGCTCCTTCCCGCCCCCAGAGGCCGGCGCGCCCGGTGGTCCGTCCCTGGTGCTCACCGCCCTTTTCACCAATTCATTTCGCTAAACCCCGCTTCGGGCTTCCCGCTGGCCTGGATTCGGGCCGAGGCAGTTACTGTGACTGGGTCACATGGCGTTGAGGTTCTCTGTGCCTCAGTTTCCACCTCTGGATGGTGGGAACAGTCGCCTCTGCTTCTCTGGGCTGCAGTGTCTGGCGGGGACAATAGCGCTCCCTGACACCGCCAGCCCCCAGTGCTGTCATTCATCCCGCACGCAGCTGATGACTGGCCACCGTGCACTGCTAGAGGTGCTGGGGACCCGAGACTGAACAGCACCGTCCCGGGGCGTGCGCTCTGGCACTTTGCACAGCGCTCCGGCGTCTGTGCTCTGTGACCCGGCTGGGAGGTGCATGGCGCTGTCAGGGTTATTTGGGTCCATGTTACAGCTGTGCACACGGAAACACAGTGAGGTTTTAAGGGCACAGCCTAGCAAATGGGTACCCGTGGTCGGGTCCCAGCCTGTGCCACAAAAAGCAGCCCCTTAGGGTAGGACAGCTCTGGACCACAGCCCCTTCCCCAGAACAGGGTCATCAGGGCCTGGGTCCTCTTGGGCTGTACTCTCTCCCCATTTCTCTGATGGCTCTGATTTGAGGTGTCCCACGCCCCCAGTTGAATCAGTGAGTGATAGAGTTTGTACAAGGCCAACTGTATTCTTCACCCAGAACCTTGAAAAACCAGGTAGTGTCCAAGGACACAAAAGACTCAGTCCCTATAGCTATCAGAGTCCCTGCCTTGTGACCACCACCATCAGTCAGTCACTCAACACACACCTGCTGTTTCATGCAGCCAAATATGTGCCATGCAGAACAGGTACTTACCTACCTGTAAGACCTGGCACACAGTAGGCCCACAGCACACAGCTGCTGTTGTAGTGATGATGGTGATCTGGCCCCTGGCCCAGCCTCATCCTCCAGTGAGGCAAGAGGTGATAGAGCCCAATAGCCTGGCTTGTTTTAAGTCTAGATTAGAGAGGACAGGAGCCTCAGTGGTGGCCCCTGAGAGCCACAGACCCACAGTGCCAGGCACCTGCCCTGCTTGGGTACCGGGAGGAGCAGCGTCAGGGTGGGGCCAGTGCAGCATGTGGTGTCACGCACAGGCTTCCAGGGGCTGTGCTTTGTGTCCCATGCAGATTCCTCTGCCCCGGCCCTCTTCCTCATTTCTAGAAATCCATCTGCTTCTCCCCACCGGAGGGCGGTCCCCTCCCAATCTAGTGAGGTCCCCTGGGCTGATCTGATCTGACTTCCTGGGACACTGCAAACACAGAGATTTGAAGGGAAGTCAGGAGTGTGTGGCCTAAGTCTCAGCTTCCCTGCTGTAAGCTTGGCCACGCTGTCTCTCTCTTACTCTCTCTCTGGGAGGGAGCACCCACCTTGAAAGTTATTTATGTATTTGAGAAGTAAAGACAGATGGAATTCCCATCACTCCCCAAATGTCCATATTGCCAGGTCTGGGCTAGGCCAAAGCCACAGCCAGGGACTCATTCTGGGTTTCTCATGTGGGTGGCAGGGACCCAACTCCTTGAGCCATCACCTGCTGCCTCCCAGGGTGTGCATTAGCAGGAAGCTGGAATCAAGAGGGGAGCCAGGACTCAAACCCAGACACTCTGATGTGGAAGGCAGATGTCTCCAGCAGCGACTTAAATCATGGCGCTAACCACCCATCCCTGAAGGTACCTGAAGTTCTGAAAGGGACAGATGCACCGAGAATTCAGAGCGTCTCTAATTTCTACCTGGAGTTCCCTTTAAGTCCTAGGAATCTGATAACCCGTGTGACTTGAAACAATTCTAAAAATGTTCTTTCTTCTGTGTTTCCCACAGGTGGACAGCCTTGGGTCTGCATGGCCCAGTAGAAGATGAAGCCCAACCCCGCAGGTGCCTTCCCCGAGGCCTGCAAAGCCGCAGGCCAGGGCGAGAAGAGCTGCCCTGTCTGCCAGGCTTGGGGAGGGGTCTCAAGTCCAAGGTCTGGTTTCGGGTCTGGGGCAGGGCCGGGTGCTGCTCTAGGGTCTGGTGCTTTTCCAGGACCTGGTGCTGTCTCAGGGTCCAGGCTGGGACCTGGGGTGGTCCCAGCACCTGGACTGGGACCTAACACTACTCCAGGACCTGGGTCAGGATCTGGTGCTGTCCCGGGATCTGGGCCACAGCCTGGTGCTGTCTCAGGGCCTGCGTCAGGACCTGGTGTGATTCTAGGACCTGGACCAGGTCTGAGGCCTGAGCCAGGAGCTGGCTCAATACCTGGGCTAGGAGCTGGGCCCAGACGGGGGTCTGGAACTGGGCCCCAACCCAGTGAGGCACCGACAGCCCCAACACCAGCGCCACAGCAGAAGACTCAAGCCAAGCCCGCCCCGGCCCCTAGGCAGAAGGTTCTGGTGACCGGAGGAGGAGGCTACCTGGGCTTTAGCTTGGGTTCCAGCCTGGCCAAGGGCGGTACTTCCGTCGTCCTACTCGACCTCCGCAGACCACAGTGGGAACTGCCCCCGGGGACCGAGTTCATCCAGGTGCGGGGACCAGGGTCTTGGGGACCGGTGGCAGTGGGGGGCGGGGCAGTGTCTTATGTGAAACCAGTGGAGTTTAGGAGCACAGGCCGTGGAGCCAGACTTGAGCCCCAGCTCTGCCTCTGTTCTTCCCACCGGACAGCCCTGGTCCCAGGGGGACAGCACCTGAAGAGGTGCTGTCCCCCTCTTCAGAGCGGGGCCAATGAGAGACCGGCGCTAATGATGGCCCCCTATAGGATCACAGAGTAAATCCGGGTGCCCCCACCTCTCCTGGCCCTGCGGGGGCTTGGCCTAGGCCTGGAGAGGTGCAGAGCTTGTGTGTCTGTTTGCCCTGAACTCGGACCTCCTGCCCCCACCTCTTTCCTGTTCCAGGCTGATGTCCGGGATGAAGAGGCCCTGTACCGCGCCTTCGAAGGGGTGGACTGTGTCTTCCACGTGGCCTCCTATGGGATGTCCGGTGCGGAGAAGGTGAGCCCCTCACATAGACTCGCTGGAGAGAACAGAGTCGGGTTCAAGTCCTGGCTGTGCCCACCACACCCCTTCGCCCCCTGCAGGAAGGATTTAGGCTATTCCCAGCCTGCCTTCTGCAGCCGTGAGACCAAACAGCAGTTCTGCCACTTTCTCGCTGTGTGACCGAGGGCGGGTTAACATAACCTTTCCGAGTCTCTGTTTCCTTATCTGGAAAATGAGGGCATGACCGCCGCTTAGGTCACAGCCCCTTCAAACAGCAGTGTGACAGTAGCTGTCAAAATAGACATAGGCCCCTGGACTCAGAAATTAAACTTCTTTCTGTATTGGTACCCTTGCTTTTCATGACAAAACTGGACATGACCTAAATGCCCACTAGCTGAGCATTATTGAAATAAATTGTGTTACTTGAAAGACAGTTACAGAGAGAGGGAGAGACAGAGAGATAGAGATTGAGATCTTCCATCCATTGGTTCACTCCCTAAAAGGCTAAAAAGGCCAGGGCCGGTCCAGACTGAAGCCAAAAGTCCAGGACTTCATCCAGGTCTCTGACGTAGGTGCAGGGGCCCAAGCATGTGGGCCAGCCTCTGCTGCTTTCCCAGGTGCTGGCCCCAGGACTGCCCCTTTTTACTGTTTGAATTACTTTTAACCTCTTACTGCATTACCCATTAAACGAGACAACCACAGAAAGAGTAGATAAAAATAAATCTATGGGGCAGGCGTTGTGGCATAGCAGGTAAAGCTGCCTCTTGCAATGCCAGCATCCTGTTTGGGGGCTGGTTCATGCCCCAGCTGCTCCACTTCCCATCCAGCTCCCTGCTAATGGCATGGGAAAGCAGCAGAAGATGGCCCAAGTACTTGAGCCCCTGCCACTGATATGGGAGACCCGGATGAAACTCTTGGCTCCTGGCTTTGGCCTGGCTCAGCCCTGGCTGTTGCAGCCACTTGGGGAGTAAACCAATGGATGGAAAAATCTCTCTCTCTCTCTCTTTCTCCCCCTGCCCTCATGACTCTGCCTTTCACATAAATTAAAAAAAAAAAAACTTAAAAATAAAGAAATAAAAATAAGTCTAGAACCCAGCTTCTAGTTGCTGTAAGACTTGAGATCGGGGTCACAAAGCTCGCGCCTGTCCCGGGCACATGCGGAGCTGTCATCACACCCCAGCCCCTTGCTGGGGCTCACACAACGCGGTTATGTCCATCTTACAGATGAGAAGACTGAGACTTCAAAAGCAGGGAAATGATCCAGCACAGTTTGAGCCCTTCCACCTTGCCAAGTTCTGTACTGGGCTCTCCCTGGTGTCTTATATAATCCTGCCCACCGCCCAGGGGGGGTCGGCCAGCCCTTGCCTTACCCCGAGGGGCTGAGGGCCAGGTGGGAACAGAAGCCTGGTCACCTGGGGAGCTGGCGGCAGAGCCGGGCACCCCAGGGACCCTTTCAGGACCCTGCTTCTGTGCTGGACATTCTGCTGCCGTGGGCCCCGCCTTCCAGCCTGGGCCACAGGCGAGAGGCCCCACCGTCACTCCCCCGCCTCCTCTTATCTTTTAGCTGCAAAAAGAACAGATTGAGTCTATAAATGTTGGAGGCACCAAACTGGTGATCGATGGTAGGCGCTCAGGACTGAGTGTGACCTGCTGTGTGCTTCCTCCTCCTCTCCCCTCTCCTGCCACAGGTCCAGCTCTGGGGCAGGGTTGGGGGACAGACAAGGGGCCGTCGGCCCACCCCAGGGCAGGGGCTGTGGACAGCACTTCTGCAGCGCGCCTGCCCAGGGCCCTGCACGGGGCGTGTCCTCGAGGTCTTAGCCTATCTAGGACTACGGGCAGCGGAGTGCATACTCACAGCCTAGGCATGGGCGTGAGAAAGGTCACAGCAGTGCCAAAATTGGAAACCCAAGTCTGGGCCTCTGAGTCTATCATGCCTTGCCCCACCTCCCAGTTTCCTCTCTGATTCTAGAGTGGTTTATTTTTCCCCCTCTGTCCGCATGGAGTGAGACTTTCTGCTGACCTGTCTGTCCCTGGCAAGGCAGCTCAGGGGCCAAAGTCACGCAGAGAAGGAGTAAAGCCCCAGGGGCCCACGGAGCCACAACTTGACCCTCACCCCAAGTTAAGGGGAAGAGGGGAAGGTCTTGGGGCCAGGACGTGTGCGGAAGATGGTGTAGAAATTGGTTGGGTGTGCCCCGGGAGGTCCCTGTGGGCCCTCCTCAGCTGAGCCCCTGCTCACGCTTGGCCCGGCGTGTGTGTTCGTATGCACCTGTGCGTTGCTGTGTGCACCTGTGGCTACAGTCTGCGTCCGCCGGCGGGTTCCGCGCCTTGTCTACACCAGCACCGTCAACGTGGCCTTCGGCGGGAAACCCATAGAGCAGGGCGATGAGGACTCCGTGCCATATTTCCCACTGGACAAGGTACCCCGGGAGAGGCGGCACCCGGGAGAGGTGGCAGGGCCAGCAGGCCTGGGACGTGCCTTCCCCAGGATCAGCCGACCAACTCACAGTGGGTCCCAGCAGGCACGAAGTAGCATGAGAGCCCCTATTTCAGCCACGTCCTGTCCCTAGGGGCTTTGAAACCAGGCAGACCTGGCTTTGAGCCCCGGCCTGGCCACCTAATGCCTGCGTGACCCTGAGCAAGTCACTGCTCCGGGCCTCTGTCTCTTCACCTGGGCCTGAGATCACCATGGTGGGGGCCGGGGAGAGCAGGAAACGGGACCACCTGGGAAAGCGCCAGGTGAAGCCTAAAGGCTGGCAGTGTGGCAGGGCAGGGTTCGGGGTTGGCCAGAGCCTTGCTGAGCAGAGCTGCCCCAGTGGTCCCATGGGGTGGTTCTTGTTACCATCCAGAGGGAGAGGAAGGGCCTGGAGCTAGGGGCATGGCTGCTTCCCAGTGGGAATCCCTAGAAGGCAACCCTCAAGCAGTCTGCCTGGAGGTGCAGGCCAGGCAGGTGTCAGGCCAGCAGCAGAGCTCAGCCCTGCCTGGTGGCCCTGTCTTCCCCGGCCCCTGGCAGCACATGGACCACTACTCCCGAACCAAAGCCATCGCCGACCAGCTGATCCTCATGGCCAATGGGACCCCTCTACCAGGTGAGTGCCCTGGGAGCCTGCTCACACCAAATGTGCCTGCCCAGCTGCTGCCTCCCCCGAAATAGGGGTGGGTGGATGGTGATTTCCTTATTTGTAAGGCACACCAATGCTTGCAACAGTGGGGGCTGGGCCAAGCCAAAGGAGGAGCCTACAATTCAATCTGGGTCTCCCAGGGGGTGGCGGGGGCCCAAGTACTTGGGCCGTCACCTGCTGCCTCTCAGGAAGCGGGAGTTATAAGTGGAGCTGGGTCTTAAATCCAGGCACCCGAGGGACATGGGCATGGGCATGGGCGTGGGCGTGGGCATCTTAACTACTATCAGCATCCCTTGTTTTCGAAACTCAGAAGCCAGTTTGAATTCCTTGCTATCCAAATCGTCACTACTTGACTTTCTGAAATTCAAAGCCAAAAAGAATCAGAGAGCCTGGTTTCTCCTCCCTAACAAAACCTTAACTCAGAAGCCAAGTGCATTTGGAGAGAGAGCGATGCTGGAAAGAAATCCTTGTGCCCGTTTGACACTGAGAGGTTAACTGACTCAGCTTAATGTCATAAGCCTTTAAAGGGTAGAGGTGGGATTTGAACTGTGGAGGAGTCTCTTACAGGTCCTGGGGGGCTTAACCACGGGGCCGTGCTGCAGCCACAGCTGAGCAGGGCCCTGAGTGGCGGGCTCTTTTCCTAAAATCTACTCAGGGCAGCCCACTTCACCTTGGACCAAGTCAGACCTGCACCCCGATGGCAGCAGGGACGTCAGCTGTGTTTTCCCAGGGGCTTCACCCTGTGTGGTTGAATACTCTTCTCTGCCTGGGGCCTCCCTCGGCCCGGCCAGCAGCCTGCATGCCGGACACCTAATCCTCCGACTGAGAATTATTTATATGAGCATCCCCAGCTTTCCATGGTCAGCAGAGTCATGGATACCAGGCCCGGCCCCTCCGTGACGTGGCTGCCCAGTGCTTCTCCCCAGCCCCCAGCCAATGGCAGGTGCAACTCAACCTTCCCCCACCATGCCCAGGTGACCCAGGGTTTAAAATTAGCCATAGGCTGTTTACAGAGCGGCTCACCCGATACCTGCCTTCCAGGAGTACAGCCTCTGTCACCCTGGGTGACTTCCACTCCCTGCTCCCCAGCCTGGCCTCAGACTGTCCCTGTAGCATAGCACAGGGGGCCCTGGTCCCAGTAGCAGAGTTTGTGATGCCCAGATCCCAGCGTGGGGTCACCGTGACTATGTCCTGTCTCTTGGCGTGTTAGTGTCCTAGGGTACTTAAAACAATAGGGATGTCTTCTTTCACCACCAGGAGGCCAGAGGACTGTAGTCGTGTCCATTGGGCTGCACTGCCCCACGCCTAGGCTCTAGGATAGGAGCCTTCCAAGTCATTCCCGGGTTGCAGTGGCTCCAGGCACTCCCTTCTTGTGGCTGCATCTCTCCAACCTCTGCCTCAATCTTTGCATCTTCTTTTTTTTTTTTTTTTTTTAATTATTTTTCTGAAAGGCAGAGTTACACAGAGAGGGAGAGCCAGAGAGAGAGGTATTCATCAGCTGATTCACTGCCCACGTGGCTGCAACAGGCGAGGCTGGGCCATACTGAAGCCAGGAGCCTGGAACTCCATCTGGGTCTCCCATGTGGGTGGCAAGGGGCCCAAGCACTCAGGCCATCTTCTGCTGATTTCCCAAGGTGCATTAGCAGGGAGCTGGATGGGAAGTGGAGCAGCCAGGTCTTGAACCAGTGCTCATAGGGGATGCTGGTGTTGCCAGGTGGAGCTTAGCCTCTGCACCACAACACTGGCCCCCACCTGCATCTTCTCTGAGAGTCTTTTATGGGGTCCCTTGTCCCTGGATCCAGGGCCCACCTGGCTAGAATAGGATGACCGCATCCTGAGATCCTTAACTTCATGACATCTGCCAAGACCCTTTTCCACGTGAGGTCCCGTTCTCTGGTTCTGTGACATGGACATAGCTTTCTAGGGACCACTATTAAGCCTGCTGGAGACATACCGTCAGGATGTTTGGTTGTGACCCGGAGGCACTGGCCTTGGCTCATTTATGGGGAAAGGGAGCTCACATTGACAGGATGTGGAACAACTGCCGGAAAATCAACTTCCAGGAAAATGACCCCAGGGTCGAGGCAGCCCTGGGGACATGGAGGGCAGGGGCTGATCATCAGGGTTCTCAGGGCAGGTCCCCTCCTGGGGTTGTGGTCCTGGTATCAGTGATATTGAGAGTCACACTCCTAGATGACAACACCCCAAGGCTACCAACTAGACTGATAGTGACCTTGTGCAGAAGGGCAGGGGTGCCCGCAGGAAGGTGGGCTGCTGGTTGTAGAGCGTGGTCTCCCCTGGGTCTCCATACCAGGGGTACAGCCCCTTGCGGGGAGCTCGAGCCTCAGGAGGGGGAGCGGAGCATCTTCCAGGAGGCCCAGGAGGAGGCTGGGAGTCAGCTTGCAAAGTCAGTCATTTAAAATCCTGAATACAGAGGCTGGCATGTGGCTTAGCCCTGAAGATGCCACTTGGGTCACTCACATCCTGAATGAGTGCCTGGGTGTCAGTCCTGGCTCCACCTCCCATTCCAGCCTCCTGCCGTTGTGTACACCTTGGGAGGCGGGAGGTGATGGCCCAAGAACTTGGGTCCCTGTCACCCACATAGGACATCCTGACTGAGTTCTGGGCTCCTGACTTCAGCCTGGACCGCCTTATTGCAAGCATCTGGGGAGTGAACCAAAGGTGGAAGATTCTCTCTCTCTCCCTCCCTCCCTCCTCTTCCTTTCAAATAAATGGAAATGATAAAAAACATCTAATCTTAAATATAAATGAATTGTGGAAGCAAATTGACATTTTTGTAGGCATTCTGAAGACTTAACTATGTGGCAGCCCTCAGTGTGTACCCCCAGATTTCCACAAGGGAGACATGTTCACCCACCACCCATTTTGGGGGCCCCCCAGTGGAAGTCCTGCACCAGGCTCCATCAGGGTCTGGTGGACTCTGCTAGGGTAGAACAGTGCGAGGGGAACAGACCTCCGCGTCTCTGCTGATGGCTGGAGACTTTTCCTTTCTCCACCCATTGTCCCAGAGCCCAGGATGTAGTTGGACCTCTCTGAGGGCGACTGTGGTCCTGTTCTAACTGATGACCAGAAAAGGGGAATGAACAAGTGTTTTTGGCATGAGGGAGTGTGGGGCCAGGTGCATCTGTAGAATGGGCACAGCGGGCTTCTCAGAGAGTCGAAGGAGATCCTGCTGTCCAGGGGTGCTGTGGGGACAGAGACCTTACAGTCCTCACACATCCATCCATGGTGTGTGTATTGGGGGTCGTGGGTGGGGGGAGTGACACTCTGAGTAGTGCTTGCTGAATGGCTAATTGATGGACTGAGAGAATAATTGGATGAGCAAACCCCAAGGACCTTCCCTCTGATCTGTCCAGGTCAGGACTAGGAGGTGTAGACAGCCTTTCTCCCCCTTTCCCTGCTGGGCTGCCCCTCCCCAGGCCCCTGATGGCTGTCCCCTGTGTCCTAGGAGGAGGCACTCTCCGGACCTGTGTGCTCCGGCCCCCAGGCATCTACGGCCCTGAGGAGCAGAGATACCTGCCCCGAGTGGCGGTATGTCATCCCAGCCCTTCCCTGGGACCAAGGCAGGCACCACATCACACCAGGCCTCCCCCTCCCCCAAGCCCCTCTTCACTGTCTCAAGGCCATGTCCTGAGCCTGGGACCCTCAGGTCTGGGAGATGCCCCTTGCACCCACCAGTCCATGGCCCCTCAGGCCTGCCAGGAGCGGAGCTCTCTGTGGGCGCAGCACTGCTGGAGGAGTCCTGGAGCTGTGACCCCACTCACCCATGGGCTCACTGGGCTGGGTGGTACATCTCTCCCATGCACAGGAAGTCTCTAGAGAATGCTAGGAGCTAGGAGTAGAGCCACAAGGGGCTCTAAATGCCATACTCAGATTTCTCACACCTGGTGGCGGGGAGGAACACTTATCAGTGTGGGAAGGGAGACACAAGACACTGGGCCTGACAGGGGAGGCCCAGGAGGGCTTCTTGGAGGAAGTGATTAGTATGTCATTGGAAAAGAGAAAAGGAAATTAGCTGAGAATATGGGGTAGGAGAGAGAAGATAGGCCAAATAGACCAGGCTGCTTGAGTACAAGCCTGAAAAGGAGAAACGTCCAAGGTCAGTTTAGGAAGCACCAAGGAGCCCCTGTGTCTGGATCTGATCTTGGCATGGTAAGGTTGTGGGGAGCTATGGAAGTCAGGAGGGGAGTGGCGCTCCAGCCTGCAGTGGGAAAGCATCCCTGCTCTGGCTGTCTCTTATATGCATGGGGTTCTTGGGGGACATGGACTCGGCCCCCATGGTGCTCTCCCCCAGCCAGTCACTTCTTACTCAGCAGATGTTCATGGAGCCCCTGCTGTGCGCCCAGCACTGCTGAAGGTTTGGGGGTAGCTCGGTGAGGCAGGTGGACACTTCCTGTCCCGATGGGGCTTGTGTCCTGACACGAGGACATCAGCAGACAGCAGGGAGCATGTGCAATGCTGAGGGCTCTTGGCAGGTTCCCGGCATGGTGGGGGAGCGTGGAGCGGGCTGAGGCGGTCGCCCATCTCCCGCACAGTCAGGTAGCCTTGTGTGGAAGGCGACACTGGGCCATGCACCGCGGGGAGCTGGCAGAGGGGGTGTGCAGGGATTTGGAGGAAGAGCCTACTGGGTGGAGGGGACAGCATCCTGAGCCCTGAGATGGCCCAGGAATAGTGAGTGGGGCCCAGGAATAGCGAGTGGGGCCCAGGAATAGTGAGTGGGGCCTGCGGCATGGCTGAGAGATCGAAGGGGTGAGTATAGGACGAAGCCCCAGAGAGGCTGCGCACAGATCAGGAAAAGACTTCTCAACCCGGTAGGATGGGCGCCCCTGGGCTGTTCTGAGCTGGGGAGGTGGGGTGGGGGCCTGGCCTTGACTCAGGATTGAAAAGGAGCCCCTGGCTGTGCAGAGAGCAGACCCCACCGTGGACAGGGAGGCAGGTTAGGAAGGCAGTGCAGATCCTGGTGAGAGATGAGGGTGGCTGCAGGATGCTGAGACGTGATCGCAGCCCGCATGCACAGATTTTCACAAGCTCTGAGGCTTTAGCCTGAGTAGTGGCATGAGCTGAGCAGGCAGCCGACAGAGGAGCAGCTTGGGAGAGAAGATCCGGTGCTCTCCCCAGAACCTGTACATCTGGGGGACCTTGGTCCTTCCAGGATCACATGGCGATGTAGGAGGTCACCAGCCACAGGAGACTGGGGCAGAAGGTCAGGTCTGGGGCTGGAAACTGGGGATCCTGGCCCGGCAGTGGTGTGCGGAGCCACTCCAGGCTGTAGCCTATGTGTCTCACCCCCCCCCCCCCCGATCAGGGCCACATCAAGAGGAGGCTGTTCATGTTCCGATTCGGGGACCGCAAGACACGCATGAACTGGGTCCACGTGCACAACCTAGTGCAGGCACACGTGCTGGCGGCCGAGGCCCTCACTGCGGCCAAGGGCTTCGTGGCTGTGAGTCCTGCCCCTCCCCCACGGGCTGCAGGCAGGGAACCCCGGGCTCCGGAAGCTTGGGGTGGGGAGGTCTTTATGGAACATCCCTAGGTCCTCATGATGACCCGCGAGATTGGCAGGGTTTGTTCCAGAATAGTAGTCGCCCAGTGCCCAGCCTGTCACACACGCCATTGCTTTTGGTATTCATGGCAGCCCGACAGGGTGAGCCTGCTATTACTCTCCCATTTCTCCGGTGAAGAAGATGAGGTACAGAGAGGTTAGGTGACTCCGTGGAGTCGGGGTGGTGGCCCCTGAATTCACGGGGACTGACTCAGGTCTGTCCCCATGCCTGGGGTGTGCTCAAGAGAACAAGGGGCCCGGGGCAGCTGCAGACACCCTGGGCAAGGGCGGGGTCAGGCCAGCAGGCAGCTGGCCGACTCCCGCCTCGTGTCCCTTCAGAGTGGGCAGGCGTACTACATCAACGATGGGGACAGCGTGAACGTCTTCGAGTGGATGGCCCCACTGGTAGGTGCGCTGCTGCCGCCCCCACCCCAGTCTGCTCTCCCTGTCACCCTTCCCTACTCTGAAAAACTCAGCTTTCCCATTAAGAATAAGCTCTGGTACCAGAGCTGTGCCCTGGGTGACAGCGGAACTGGCTGGAGGCAGTCCCGGCTGATCCCCTGTGGACTCCATGTGCTCCCCAGTTTAACCGCATTCCCTTAAGCCTGCTTCCCGATTGATTAGAAATCTGTTTTACATTTTTATTTCTTTTATTTAAAATTGGAAGTTGGGTGAGAGGGGGAGAGAGAGAAAGAGAGAGAGGGATGGAGAGAGAAGGCACTTCCATCCCCTGGTTCACTCCTATAAATGCCCACAAACAAGCAGGGAGTGGGCCAGGCAGAAGCTAGGAACCTGGGACTCCATCCAGGTCTTCCATATAGGTGGCAGGGACCCAAGGACTTGGGCCGTCCCGTGCTGCCTCTCAGGGTGCCCGTTAGCAAGCAGCTGGAATTGGAAGCAGAGCTGAGACTTGAACCCAGGCAGTGCACTATGGGATGCAGGTGTCCCAGGTGACTTTTAACCACCATGCCAAGCACCTGCACCTGTTGCCCGATTCCTAGTGGCTTCCAGCCCTGGAGGATTTGCTTGTGAGCCACGGCACTGTGTGGGAAGGCTCTGAAGGAGGCAAAGGGAGGCCGTGGGCCTTGGGGTCTCCCGTGCTACAGCCCCCCAGAAAACTGTGGCCTCTTTTCTCAAAGAGGGCCAGTCAGCATAGAAGGGTAGACCAGAAGCCCTGAGAAGGTGGCAGGCGATGGCCCAAGTGGTTGGGCCCCTGCCAGTGTGGGAGACCCAGGTAGAGTTCCTGGTCCCTGGCTCCTGGCTTCAGCCTGGCTCAGGGAATGAACCAGAGGATGGAAGATCTCTCTGTTTCATCCCACACGCGCGTACACACACACACACACACACACACCCGCCGCTGTTGCTCTGCCTTCCCAATAAACATAAGAAGGGGGGTAGCTTGAACCAGCACTCCAATATGGGATGCGTGTAACCCAAATGGCGGCTTAACCCACTGCGCCACAGTGTCCACCCTGTTACTTAGCGCTTGCTTCCAAGGTTCATCCATGTTGTGGTATTTATTGGTTTTTTAAAACCGCTTAAAAGTATCCCATCCATTCTGTGTTATGCACCCATCAGAGGATGGAAACTTGAGTTTTTCCCCTTGGGGGCTCTTGTGCCGCTATGAGCACCCGCGTGCATGTGTGTGGGTGCGCGAGGGTCCTCGGCCTGGGGTGGCTGGGTTTTCTGGCGGCTCTGGGTTTACGCATTCGGAGGAACAGCCTGCCTGTGTTCTGAAGGGGCTGCACTGTTTCCCACCTCCCCCACAGCATGGGAGGGCCCTGGTTCCTTCTCCATACCCTGCCAACCGTGCCAGCCCTGCCAGCCCTGGCCATTGTCCTTCATGCAAGGGACGAGCTCGGCTCATCCTGAGCCATCTCCTCTTCCATCCCTGCCACCCTCCACGTACAAGTTCTCGCTTTTCTTTAATAGAAAAGCCAATTCTGGAAAAATCAGGTTCTGCTGAGAAGTCCCTGAGTGGAAGGCAGGTGTCGGGAGTAACTGATGCGAGCAATCCCAGGTTAAAAGCCCGTCTCTGCACTTTGACTGCTGCCTCAGTTTTCCAGGGCGAGGTGTGGATTTCATTTCAAGACTGGTGCAGACTTAGGGCCAGCGGCAGGGTCTGCCCGGCTAGGCCGTGCGTGAGGGCCCAGAGCTACCCCTGTGGGCCTCAGGACACAGGAAGCAGGTGGCCTTCCCGCACCAGTCCCAGAACCCTCTCTTCTCACCCCCGACCATGTCTCCTTGCAGTTTGAGAAGCTGGGGTACAGCCAGCCCTGGATCCAGGTGCCTACTTGCTGGGTTTACCTGACAGGTAAGGAAAGGGGCACGGGTATGAAAGCCCTCCGTGGGCCAGGTGATCCAGCCCTAGCTCACTTCAAACCCAGGGCCAGGGCTAGGGTGAATTTTTAAGGTGGCCATGCAGGTGCCCCATACCTGGTCCTGGGCTTCCATGGGCCCTGGGAGCAGGTGTCTCCTTAAATTTCACACTCCAGTGGCCTCACTCCCTTCACACTAGTCTGGCCCTGTTTAAATCTTGTCCCATTTGCCAGGAGCGTGTGATTGGACCCATTACAAAGATGAGGGATGGAGGCCATTGTGAGAAAATGGGAGGGGCAGAATCCACACCTGGGGTTGACAGACTTCCTGTGGCCTGGGCTGGAAGGTGTCAGGCCAGGGCTGCTCTCCCTAGGGCACCCTGCAGTTGGGGCTGCTTTGAGACTGGCGGGGGCTCCATTGTAACCCTGGAGTCTCCTCCTCACTGAGGGTCGGTCTGTGCATCCACCCCCGGTGCCCGCAGTGGGTGCTGCCTGCTGCCCTCTACTCCCACCCTTGGCACCCCTCTGCTGGCCTTATCCTAGGTGGACTGCAGATCAGGCATCAGGTGTGGAGCAATCAAGGAGCAATAGACCCTCATGACAAAGACGTATTCCTGGCAAACCTGGGCCAGATCTGCTGTATATTTGTTTTTGAAGATTTATTTATATATTTGAAAGGCAAAGTTACAGAAGGAGGGAGAGACGCAAAGAGAGAGATAATCTTCCATTCACTGGTTTACTCCCCAAATGGTCACAACAGTCAAGGCTGAAGTCAGGAACCTGGAATTCCATCCAGGTCTACATGGGTGGCAGGGATCCAAGTACTCAGGCCATCCTCTGCTGCTCTCCCAGGCAGGGAGATGTATCATAGGTAGAGCAGCCAGGACTCAAAAAATAGTGCTCATATGGGATGCTGGTATTACAGGAAGTGACTTAACCCACTGCACCGAAGTACTGGTCCCCACTGTATTTTTTAAGATTTATTATTTATTTGAAAAGCAGGGTGACAGAGAAAGAATGAGAGGCAGAGAAAGGGAGATATCTCTTCCATCTACTGGTTGATGTCCCAACTTCCCACAGCAGTCAGGGCTGGCCAGGCCAGAGCCAGGAGCCAGAAACTCCATCCAGGTCTCCCACATGGGTGACAGCAACCCAAGTACTTGGACCATCATCTGCTGCCTTCTATGGGAAACAGAGTAGCTGGGACTCAAACTGGCACTCCAAATGGGATGCAGGGGTCCCAAGCTGTAGCTTAACTCGCTGCACCACACCACCAGCCGCTTGCTGCATTTTCAGTGCGTCGGGATACTTGTGATTGGGAAGGGCTGGGGAGACGTCTCACACAGTCACAGCTGATGGCAGTTCTAGGGGACTGCATATCAATTCCTGTTCTTGTGGCCAACCACAGCTCAGGGCTTCTCAATTCTGGCTGCGTGTTAGAGTCACCTCGGGGGCTGGCGCTGTGGTGTAGCCAGTGAAGCTGCTGCCATATGGGTGCCGGTTCAGGTCCCGGCTGCTCCACTTTCAATCCAGCTCTCTGCTATGGCCTGGGATAGCAGTGGAAGATGGCCCAAGTCCTTGGGCTCCTGCGCCCATGTGGGAGACCTGGAAGAAGCTCCTGGCTCCTGGCTTTGGGTCGGCCCAGCTCTGGCCTTTGTGACCAATTGGGAAGTAAACCAGCAGATGGAAGACCTCTCTCTCTGCCTCTCCTTCTCTCTGTGTGTAATTCTGCCTTCCAAATAAAAAAATAAATCAGGGGCCGGCGCCATGGCTCATTTGGTTAATCCTCCGCCTGTGGCGCCGACATCCCATATGGGCGCCAGGTTCTAGTCCCGGCTGCTCCTCTTCCAGTCCAGCTCTCTGCTGTAGCCTGGGAATACAGTGGAGGATGGCCCAGGTGCTTGGGCCCTGCACCTGCATGGGAGACCAGGAAGAGGTCACCTGGCTCCTGGCTTCGGATCGGCGCAGTGCCAGCCATTGCGGCCAACTGGGGAGTGAACCAACGGAAGGAAGACCTTTCTCTCTCCCTCACTGTCTATAACTCTACCTGTCAAATAAATTTTTTAAAAATACTTTTTAAAAAATCACCTGGAAGCTTTGGAACAGCAGAAAGCCTCAGCTGCAGGCCAGATATAGCAGGATCAGCAGGAAGGAGGTGGGAGGGAAGCGATTTTAAAGATTTTTTACTTATTTGAAAGGCAGAGAGAGAGCGAGAGATCTTCCATCCACTGGTTTACTCCCCAAATGCCAGCAAGAGCCAGGGCTGGGCCAGTCCAAAGCCAGGAGCCAGGAGCTCTATGCCGGTCTCCCACGTGGGTGGCAGGCATCCAAGTAGTTGGGACCATCTTCTGCTGCTTTCCCAGGCACGTTAGCAGGGAGCTGGACCAGAAGTGGAGCAGCCAGACTCTGAACTGCCGCTCTCATGAGATGCCAGCGTCGCAGGCTGCAGCTTATCCCAGCACTGAGACTGCTTTCTAAAGGGCTCCAGTGTGTAGCTTGGGTTGGGATCCGTTGCTCCACCCGCTCTCCTGCTCACTGGAATAGGAGGGAGAGAGACCCCCTTACAGAGATCGCTGAGAATCTGCTCCATGTGTTTTATAACTTCAGTCCTTCGATACCAGTAACAAGTTACTTGTGACTGTTTCACAGCCAAGTAAGGTACCCCAGCCTGTAGCCTGTGCTGATTAAAAAGAACCCAGTGACCTTCACCAAATGACCCTTTGCAAGGCAAACCCCCCCCTGCCCCCCCGCGGACTCCGTCCCCAGGGCCCCTGGTCACTGGCCCCTGTCTCCTGCAGCCACAGTGATGGAGTACCTGCATCTGGCCCTGAGGCCCGTCTGCAGCGTGCCGCCCCTGCTCACCCGCAGCGAGGTAAGTGGGCTGCTGCACCCCCCCCCTCCACCTCACCCCTTTGACACCATGACTGGCGGCTTGGCGGAGGTCTCAGAACCTTCCAGGCAGGCCCCGGTCTGGTGCCAGCTCCCGATCCTCACCCTAACCTCAGGCCTTTGCTGGTGCCCTTTTGGTCTGATATGCAAGACCCAAGCCATCGCTTATCACATTTACTTCATTCAGTAGCAGCTCAGCCTTCCAGCCACCGGGGGCCCCTGCAGGCAGGCTCCAGGACAGTCACTGTCTAAATTATTTATCTGAAAGGCAGAGAGACACAGAAAGAGATCTTCCATCCACTGGTTCATTCCCCAAATGCCCACAGCAGCCAGGGCTGGGCCAGGATCTCCATCTCTATCTCCCACATGGGCGCCAGGGATCCAAGACTTGAACACTTGCTGCTTCCCGGGGTGCGGATTAGCAGAAAGCTGGACCTGGAAGTGGAGCCTGGACGTGAACCCGGGCACTCTGACGGGGCTGAAGGCGCCTTACTCACCATGTCACACGTCCATCCCAGCATTCACTTCTTTGAGTGCCATTGGTACCCACCAACCACGTGTACACACACTGCACACAGAGCCTGGGGTGTCTAGGCTCACAGCTCTTGTGTCCTGCATAGTAAGCATATATTAAGTACCTACTGTGTACAGCCTTAAACAGGAGTGATGGTGGAGTTTTCTATTTGCCTAGTATCATATGCCAACGAGCATGTTTAGCGCAGGTTGTAAACGGTAAAGCAGTGGGCTGTGTTTGAGGTCGTGTACAAAAATCCCTCCAGCCCGCTCTCTGATTCTCTGATGCCCTGCTAAGGCATCTGCGTTGTAAGACGAGAAGCTGGACAGTAGAGAAGTTAGTGACTTGTCCTATACACCAGGCTGGAATTTGGCTCCAAGTCCAAGTCTCTCTGACCCAGGGAACATGGAGAACGGGCCCCAGGGAGAAACAGTTGCCCGTGAGTTCTCCCTTGAGCCATCCAGCCTAGTGGAGAAAATAATGACAACAGTGACCCTCTGCTGAGTGGTGACCGATAAGCCGGGCACTGTGCTTTGTCCCATTTAGTCTTGACTACTACTCCAACTTGTGGATTCTGTAATCCATCTACAGAAGAGGAACTGAGTGAAATAATCACTCGTTTAAGTGAGAGTGATGGAGGGCCCAGCATCATGGTGTAGTGGGCTAGGCTTCTGCCTGCAGCGCCGGCATCCCATATGGGCACTGGTTAAGTCCCAGCTGCTCCACTTCCAATCCAGCTCTCTGCTATAGCCTGGGAAAGCAGAAGATGGCCCCCGCACCTGCTTGGGAAGACCCCGAGGAAGCTCCTGGTTTCTGGCTTTGGATTGGCATAGCTCCAGCCTTTGCAGCCATTTGGGGAGTGAACCAGTGAGTAGAAGACCCCCCCCCATCTCTGCAACTCTGCCTTCCAGATAAAAAAAAAAATACCCAGGCACCCCACTGTGGATTGCCTGACATTTGAGTGATGGGATTCAAACTCAGTCGTCCTGAATGATCCCAAGCTTACAAACCAGCTTGGGGACTGCATCAGGAGTCGCATCAGTGTACAACACCTGTCCAGGAGCTGCTGGACTGTGGTGGGGCAGAGGCTGGGGCATCCTGTCTCATCTTAAGGTGTGGATGTTCCGTTGAGCGCAGGTTCCTGGGCTGTGGCTCGGGCGCCCTCTGCTGGCCATCCTGCAACACAGCCCCCTAGTTTAAGGCCTTTGATTCATTTCCCACTTACTGCGCTGTGTCCCGGCACTGTGCTGCGCAGTGGAGGCAAGAAGACAGTCTCTGCCCCAGGGAGCGCACAGTCCAAAGGGGAAGGGAGCCCAGAAGCCAGGCGACAACACGGAGGCAGGGGCCCCTGCCCAGCTCTGCGGATGCCAGGGAGGTGCCGCCTAAGCCTAGCCTCAGAATTCCGTGTGCCAGGATCCTGCTTCTCCAGTTCACACACAGCTCTCGCCCTACAGAATCAGTGTGTTTTTGGAATATTCTGTTGGACTAAGGCGCACCCTGAACTTACTAGCCGGGGCAAAAGGGGGCAGGAACTGGCCACTCTCTCTCCGCCACTGAAGGGGCCATGACCTGGGGCTGCTTGGGTAGAGCAGGCAGCTGGTGGACTCTCCCTCCAGTCGCCAGCCCCTGTGTGACCCCCGGCAAGTCACATAACCTCTCTGATCTTCAACTTCCAAATACACGAAGAGGAGAGGATTAAATGGCATAGGGATAGAAAGGACTGAGCCCAGGACAAGCACAGAGCGTGTGCGCTCCCTAATTGAGAGTTGGCATTCTACGAGCCATCTGGCAGCAGGGAAACGCAGACCCTGGAGAGCGATCACTTGTGCATAATTGAATTCCTCTTTGAGAGAAGCTTAATCAGCCAGGAGGGTGTGAAGACGGCGCCTGGGGTCTGCCTGGCCACAGTTGGGCTGGGGCTGGGGGGCGGCGGGAAGCCAAGGTCCTCTCTTCCAGACACAGGCAGGGCGCTCGGCTTCTCCTAGCCAACACCCGGGAATGCATCGAGGACCTTGCTAGGACAGGAAGTGCAGAGGCGGCCTTTGCGCTGTTGAAAAGGGTGCGAATTCCGCGGGGCTGCTTGGGGAGGTGCAGAAAAGACAAACTGGAGCAGGCATCCTCCAAGAAAATGGAGGCGGAGGAGAGAGGAAGGCCTCCTGGGCGAGGGCATCGCAGACGCCAAGACGCGAGCCCCGCCTCTTCCCGCAGGTGCACAGCGTGGCCGTGACGCACACCTTCCGGATCGCTAAGGCCCGCGCCCAGCTTGGCTACGCGCCAGACAAGTTCCGCTTCGCCGACGCCGTCGAGCTGTACGTGCAGTCCACGAGCCGGCGGCCCCGCGGCTCCCCCGCGCCGACACTCCTGCGGTGGCTGCTCGGGCTGCTGCTGCTCCTCGGCTTGCTCGCCCTGGCCCTGCGCTTCTTAGACCTGCAACCGCTCCAGGCGGCCGTGGATAGCCTCTGATGGCCGGAGGCAGCGGATACCAGCGAGACTGCGCCCTCGCCCACGCCCCGCCGGCCAAGCCGGGGCGCGTCCTGGCCCCGCCCCCTCTAGCCCCGCCCTGCGCCGTGGCCCCGCCCCCTCCCCGCCCTCCGGGCTTGGGCCCGTCCCGCGCCGTGGCCCCGCCTCCCGCCCTCGGGTTTGGGCCCGCCCTGCGCCGTGGCCCCGCCCCGCGCCGTGGCCCCGCCCCTTCCCCGCCCTCGGGTTTGGGCCCATCTTGCGCCATGGCCCCGCCTCCCGCCCTCGGTTTGGGCCCGCCCTGCGCCGTGGCCCCGCCCCTTCCCCCGCTCTCCGGGCTTGGGCCCGCCCTACGCCGTGGCCCCGCCCCTTCCCCGCCCTCCGGGCTTGGGCCCGTCCTGCGCCGTGGCCCTTCCCAAGTCCTCTGACTCCGTCCTCCGGACCTGGCCCCACCCCTGAGTCCCCACCTCTGCCCGGCCCCCTGCACCTGCCCTCGAGGACTAGGCCCGCTCCTGACCCGCCCTCCGAAGTCCAGGCCCTCCCCACCCTTTAGCGTGTCCCCCTGGCCTGGCGGGGCTAGTAGGAGCCCGCTCCGCCTTCCGGGCCTTCCCGCGCCGCGGTGCGGTCCTGGCTCGCTCCCCGGAGCCTCCTCGCTCGGGTGCGGCCCGCTTTCGGGCCTTAGCCGTTCCAAGGAGCGCTCCCCGGCCTCGGCCCGCCCTATGGCCCCAGTCCTGGCTCTGTCGCGGGAATCGGGGGCCGGCCCCGGGCGCGTTTTCCTCAGGACGCGGCCTCGGTCGGCCGTGCTGGCGGCGGGGGCCGTGCTGGCGGCGGGGGCCGTGCGGCGTTTGCTGCCACTTCCGCGAGCTGCGCGGCTCCGGGCTCGTCCTGACGCCGCCTTGGACTCAGGAACGCCGCGCTTGGGCCGCCGCCACCCGGACGTCCCTGCGCGCCGGGGCCTGCGGAAGCCGCGAGAACCGGGCTCCTGCCCAGCCCAGCCCAGCCCAGCGTGGCCTTTTGGGGTTCTCCGTTTACGGGTCCGCGGGTGAGAGCGTAGTTAAGCACAGGTCTCAGTCCCAGCAAACCCATCAAAAAAGAGATAAAAAGCCTTAAAGAATGGGATATCGTCTTTTTAAGAGGACCAATGTACTTAGAATATGAAAAAAATAGAGTTTAGTGCGTCATATTTTGTGGTTCAGCATTGTTTTTGTTTCTTAACGAGAGGTGGTGGTGATCGTGTAAATTTTAAGATTTATTTTTGTTTATTTGAAAGAGTTAGGGCCAGAGCTGGCCCACACTGAAGCCAGGAGCTTCTTCCTGGTCTCCCACGCGGGTGCAGGGGCTCAAGCACTTGGGCCATCTTGCACTGCCTTCCCAGGCGCATTAGCAGGGAGCTGGATGCAAAGAGGAGCAGCCAGACTGGAACTGGCGCTCACACGGGATGCTGGTGTTGCAGGTGGTGGCTTTATTGGCTACGCCACAATGCCATCCCAGGTTGTGTAAGGTTGAAGGCCACAACACTTGACCCCACCCTCTGCTCTTCCAGAAACTGCGCCTCCCTGTGAGCTTGGTATCCGTCCTGGGTACCAAGATACCAGTGTGTATGTCCCAGTATGCACACGTGGAACTGGCCCAGCAAACCCTGGGTGCCGGCAGGGAAGGAAGCCAGAGCAAGCCTGTGGTGGAGGCCAGCCTGGGTGCTGATCGGAGCCGTGGGGGCGTGGGCAGGGCGGGTCCCCTCTGCTGAACAAGACAGTCTGTGGCCTGGGCAGAGCGGGTCCCCTCTGCTGAACAAGACAGTTTGTGGAAGAGCTAAAAAGATGCTGCTCTCTGCCAGGCTGAACTGGGTGTGTGTGTGTACAATCAGTGAATAATAACTCTTCTCTCTCGGCCACAGGCTGGCCTCCAAATTCGCCTCTTGGCTCCCTGCCTTTCCTCTCTCTGCTGATCCTGAGAAATCTGAAGGCAAGATGAGACTCTCCCTGTTCACATCACCCATCCAGATCTTTTGTTTTTGGCCCACCCTCAGCCTTTGAATCCTCAATCCGAGAGCGGGTTCTTGGTTTTCTGCATGTTTCCTGAAACTGCCTGGGGATGAGGGTGGCATGGGTCAAACAAGCCCTCTTCCCTCTCAGAAAGGAAGTGGCGCCTCTACCCCGCAGACAAACTCTCCCTCCTCCTCCCCCCTCCCCCTCCATGGAAGCTGCCTGAATAACTAGGAGGTTCTGGGAGGCCATCTAGGAGGAGGTCCCAGGCAGAACATCACAAATGCAGGGACAGTGGGCAACAAGCAGAATGGGCCATCGGGACCCTGTCCGCTTTCCCTTGTGGGCACTGTAGCAATTCCCAGCTGTACACCCCACGCCCGCTACCGAACACACCCTCAATCCAGTGCTGTGATGGGCTGTCAGTACTTACATTTCTTTATTTTTAAGAGTTGATCATGGGCCGGTGCCGCGGCTCACTAGGCTAATCCTCCGCCCAGCGGCGCCAGCACACCGGGTTCTAGTCCTGGGTGGGGCGCCGGATTCTGTCCCGGTTGCCCCTCTTCCAGGCCAGCTCTCTGCTGTGGCCTGGGAAGGCAGTGGAAGATGGCCCAAGTGCTTGGGCCCTGCACCCCATGGGAGACCAGGAGAAGCACCTGGCTCCTGCCTTCGGAGCAGCGCACCAGCCGTGGCAGCCATTGGAGGGTGAACCAACAGCAAAAGGAAGACCTTTCTCTCTGTCTCTCTCTCTCACTATGCACTCTGCCTGTCAAAAAAAAAAAAAAAGGAGTTGATCATTAAATTTTTAAAAATTATTTTCAGTTGTATTTGAAAAGGCAGAGAGACAGGCTGGGAGATCTTCCATCTGCTGGTTATTTCAGGCCAAATGCCTGCAATAGCCAGAGCTGGGCCAGGCCAAAGCCAGGAGCTCAGAACTCAGCCGGAGTCTCCCCTGTGGGTGGCAGGGATCTGAAGACTCCAGCCATCACCTGCTGCCTCCCGGAGTGCATGTTAGCAAGAAGCTGGGAATCGGAAACAAAGCCGGCATTTGAACCCAGGCACTCTGGTATAGGATGCAGGTGTGCCAAGTGGCATCTTAACAGATGCACTGGGTGCCTGACCCTATACGTTTTCATTTCTTCTCTTGAACCCATTCCAAAATGACTTTAATCAAGGCCATTAATAGCCCTGCCCAGAAATCATAAACCCAGGTGATGATTTTGTCTTTCTCACCTCTGAACAGCACTCAGCCTAGCCAGCTACTCCCTCTTGGATGCCACACCTGGTTACCACAGAGGACGCCGGCCAGGTCCTCCTGTCTCTTTTGCTGGCTCCTCTTCCATTGCTGTCCCGTCAAGATTATGGTCCTCGGGGCCCTGTCTTGGCCTCTCTTCCTCTCTCAGCCTTTTCTGGGTGACGTCATCCATTCCCATGGCCTCAGTCTCCAGTGTTATTTTCTCAGAATGCTCTCTTGGCCTCCAGACTTCCACGTCCAACCCCATACTTAACTCCACGTCCCACAAGCATCTTAAACTCGCTCTGACTCTGACTGACCTCATCCGCTTTCCCACAAACCTGCTCCCTGTGGGTCCTGCGTTTCCTCCCACGGAGAAGACAGGCACGGCCAGCTCTCCAGCGACCCAAGCCCGGCACCTGGGCATTTCCCTCTCTTTACAACATCCTCATCGTCCACTTCCGTCGGGTCCACCTCGGAACCCTCCCTAGGCCCCACGTGCTCCACGTCCTGCACATGTCCACCCTGCAGTAGGCTTTGAAGACCACCTCCTGTCTCCGAGGGGAGCTGCCTGTGTCCCAAGCTGGAATCTGCCACTCTGTGGCTTAAAACTCTTCCGTGGTTGCCCGTAGCCCTCAGGATCAAGTTCAGGAGCTCAGCTTGGCACTCGTCCGCCTGCAACCGCTTGCCCCCTGTCCAGCGGACCCAAATCCCTCCTCGGCCGCCTGGTCTCACCAAGCTCTGATCTGCCTCTAGGAGGTCCTACTTCTCAGAAATGCCCCCCACCCCGTCACTTTCCCGTGGCTCCTCTTGCCAGTTTCAGGTTCCAGCTAGCCAGGTTATAACAAATTCTGCAGGTCCACAGACATGTCTGCCTTACCCATCACAGGACTAGTTGGGTTTCTGCAACATCGTAGGCTCTTCAGGCATAGTTGGTGCATGAACAAATGAGGGACCCCCTAAGCCAAGCCTGAAGGCCAAGTTGGAGGTGAATCAGCTGAGACCTCAAGGCTGACACCCAGGCTTGTTCCCCAAGCTCTGTGTCGTCGGACACCTTTTTCTACCAACAGGGATCTATGGAGTCAGCCAGAGCCGTCGCAAGGACACAGAGCAAGCCGGAAAGAGCCCTCCCTAATCAGGTGGCGATTATAATCACCCCACCGACAACCTTGCTCCTTGGGAGGTATAGAACCCCAGGCCTGGAGACGTTAAAGACCCAGGCAAACTGCTGGGATCTTTTCAGGGTACCCTAGACGGTTTTCCCAGGAAGTAGGGAGAAGTTCTTGCTTTGTCTCAAGTAGGCAGGGGTGGCACGTGATACGTTTGTGTCCTGGGCCTGCACTGCCAAGTTTCTTGTTTTTCTCCTCTCCCTACCCAGTTCAAAAAATTTCTTGAGTCAGGAAAGAATAAAGGGAGGGAGTGTGGAAAAAAACATAATCCCTTCTGGGTGTGGCAGCGGTGGGATTCGAACCCACGCCATCGAAATGACTGGAGCCTAAATCCAGCGCCTTAGACCACTCGGCCACGCTACCGCCCAGTTGGTGAGGCCGCTGCTCAGCCTATATTAGTCCGATGACGCGCATGTCTCGCGCTCAGCAAGCCCCGCCCCCGCAGGTGTGCGCATGCCCGAGGCAGGGCCGGGCTCTCTAAGGCCTCAGCTTCCCGCGGCGTTTTGGAAACAGTTGTTTCGTGATCAGCAGCAGTAAGTCAGTAAGAACACACCGTTAGGAACGAAAGAAGAGTTCCTAATGGTTCAGTCTTACTCGCAGGTGCGTTTGGGTTTGAGTTTTTGCATTTTCCATGGGCGTAATACCGCGTGAGGCCACCTGGGGGCAGTGCCGCGCTGCCGCGCCCTCCTGGCTGGGCCTGGGTTTGCAGCTCTGATGTGCAGTCGCCCCTACTGCCCTGTGTGGCCTCCTGGGCTGGCCCCTGCTCTTGCCATCACGGGCCCAGGCCGGAAAACCGGTGAACTTTGTTCTATCATCCCCATTTCAGACGGCCCAGCCTCCCAGGACCCAGGTCCTTCTATGCAGGTTATTTCGGGGTGTGTGTGTGTGTGTGTGTGTGTGTTGTAGAAAAATGCAACAAATACGGAGCCCAACAAAACAGACTTCCGTTTCCCACCATCCCGAATGGTGAACATTTTTGCTTCAAATCTTTTTAAAGATTCGATAGAATTCAGGTTTCCTTGGATACCCCCGAGTTCTACTCCCCTTCCTCCTGCCTCGGGAATTTTCAGTCCTTTCGGACACGTTTTCCTCATTCACATTCAGGTAGGGTTACTCCTTTCCTTGCAGCCAGCAGAAATCCAGGGGTAGATACAGGCCATCCCTCCATGCGCGGGGCAAGCTGCGTGATGGCCCCCAAGATGCCCACGTCCACGCTTCCAGAACACCAAACAGGTGACCTTAGGTGGCGAACAGACTCTGCAGGTGTGACCAGGGAGCTTCAGGTGGGCAAGGCAGCCAGGGCCAGCCGCATGGTCTCAGTGTTTGTCACAGGGCTCTTCCTAAGAGGTGAGGCAGGGGTTCCAGGAGGAGATGAGGGGGGTTGAGAGCAGAGACCCCCACCGCGGGCGGGCCTGGTAGTGCTGCGGAAAAGGCAACGACCCAGTTCTCCCCCAGCGCCTCCAGGAGGAGCCCGGGTGTCAACACCTTGTCCCTTGAAGCCGCTACAGCTATTACCACAGCAACGAGAAACCCCTATAGGACATCCGTGGTCTGAGCTTTGGGGGCCTGTGTGCCCTTCGGAAAGTCCCCTCTGTGTGAGCCTCCGCTGCTTGTAGTGGAGGCACAGTGAGGGCACAGGTGGATGCTGTAAGGATTACGTTTGTTCTGAGTTTTTTTAGGTTTATTTACTGGGGCACCGCTATGGCACAGAAGGTTAAGCCGCTGTCTGCAGCGCTGGCATCCCATCTGGGCATAATAAATAAATAAAAACAAAAGATTACAGAGAGAGGAGAGACAGAGGGAGATCGTCCATCGGCTGGTTCACTCCCCAAATGGCCACAAGGAAGCCAGGAGCCAGGCGTATGGGTTGCTGGCACCCGTACTTAACCTGCTGCACCACAGCACCGGCCCCTGTGCTGGGAGTTCATGCCCTCACGGTCTGTCAGGCACTGTCCGTGCTGGAGAATGGAGCAGACAGAGCAAATGTGGGAATGTGCGCCCAGCATTTATTTTTATATTTGTAAGATTTTTTATTTGAAAGGCAGCATATCAGAGAGTGAATCTTCCACCTGCTGGTTCACTCCCCAAATACCTGCAACTACCAGGGCTGGGCTAGGCTGAAGCCAGGAGCCAGGAGCCAGGAGCTCCATCCAGGTCTCCCCTGTGGGTAGGGCCCCAAGGACTTGGACTTGGACCATCACCTGCTGCCTTCCTAGGCACCTTAGCAGGGAGCTGGACCAAGATCAGAACCAGCGCTCTGATGTGGGATGTGGATGTCCTAAGCAGTGAGGGCTTAACCTGCCACAGCACAGATGCTGGCCTCGTGTCCAGCATTTATCTGCCTCTCTAGCACAGGCTGAAAGCAGTGGTGACGGGGGACTCCAGCTGGTCTGGCTACACATGAGCATTTACGCGTCTCTCCCCGGATGATGCTGAGCCCTGCCAGGAGTGGCAGGCGATGCCATCTCGTTCACCCAGAGCTCAGGGCCCAGGACAGTGCTGGCAGCAAGAATATTCCTTGAACAATGATGTTGCATTCTTGGTGGAGGCTACCCCACCTTGTCACAGGAGCCTGGAGCCAGAGGCAGGTGCTGCCTGTCCTAAGCACCCACGGGACTGTGTCCACGCAGGTCCAGACTGCGGCTGGCTTTTCTAGGTCATCTCCCTGTGGCCCAGGGAAGGAGGCAGAGTTCTCTGTAGGTGATCGCCCCCTCCACAGTCTCGCAAAAGAGTTTTCCAGTCCTTGGATCATCTGCTGGCACCGTTCGGTCCTCCAGCTGTCTCTCGTCACTTAATTATGGTTAACATTTGTCCTGCACCTTGGACGCCTGATCAGGCAGAAACGGACCTTAGCGGGGACCAACAGCTGTTGATGGAGTTGTTCAGAGGCCTGTGTGCCCTTTGCCAGCACCCTGCAAATCCAAGAGAGAGGCCAGGCCCTCGGCCCACCCACTCTGCCCGGCCTTCCTCCCCAGCCACGCCTCCCAGGGGCCTGCTGACTCAGCCTTCTTGCTGACTTATTCCTTCAGGGCTGACGCGGGGCGGCTCCCATGCGGAGCCCAGCCACAGCCAGGCGAGGGTAGGCAGGGAGGCTGCAGAAACCAGGGCAACCTGGCTCTGTTTGCCTTTTGTTGTGTTTGGAAGGGGTGTTTAAAAATAACTTTTCCAAAAGTGGCCAGTGTGCCTTCCCTGTGGACACCCAAGCAAAGAAAGCAAGTACAAGAAAAACGCAGAAAAACACAATCACCTGACTCTTCTCCAAGCCTGTTATAAACTCTGTCCTCCCTTAGGTAGGGAGAGCCGGGTTTTGCCTTTGTTCCTAGGAAATGCAGTGCTGCCTGTTGTAAGCTTTTACACTATGAAGCCGCAGGTCTCAGGCTCCAAGGGAAATTCTCGGGCGGAGACGCCCCAGCACCCCTCAAGCTCAGAAGGAACTGCTGCGCCCAGCTTTGGGGGCCACCCTTCCAGATCTTTCCTGTGCAAATACAGAGGCCCCCAGCACGGGTTGCTCAGTCTCGCCCCGCCCTCATCCCAGGGTTTGCTGGCTCAGGGTTTAAGATATAAGTCACCTGCAGCAGTTACAATGCCTCCTCAGCAAACCTCATCCTGCACTGAGGGCCTGGGTTCAAGTCCCAGCTCCGCTCTGCAGCCCAGCTTTCTGCTAGTGCACACTAGGCGTCAAGTGCTTGGGCCCCTGCTGCCCATAGGGGAGACCCAAATTGAGTTCCAAGCTCCTGGCTTTGGCCTGGCCCAGTTCTGGCTGTTGTGGGAAGATAGAAGATCTCTCTCCCTCTCTCTCTCTCTCTCTCAATGAAAATAAGCACTTTTTTAAGAATAAGAAGACAGGAAGGTGGTCATTTCATAGCAGGCATCCCTACGGCTACAGGTGGGCCAGCCAGGGCCTCCGTGATGAGCGTACTCACCCTACAAAGGCCTGGGATCCTCGAAGCCCAGGACTGTGCTGCTTACAAAGCTACAGCCCACGCCCACGGTGCTGGGGAGCTGAGCAGTGGACACTCCAGACCGCGGCCGCCCTCCTGCCCGAACCTGCAGCTCTCCTAGCCTCCCTGAGCCTTCATGAGGATCACACCCTGTGTGCCGTGAGGGAAACAGGCACCAGACCCAGGCTGGGCTGTGGCCCGTGTGAGAGCTGGAGCCGTGTCCCCTGTGATGTGTGCTGTCTTCTGTGGCTGCGCCCCAAGCTCTGTGGTCAGGAGACAGCGGGAATCTGCGGTTTTTGTTTTGGCAACAACTTTATTGTGATACAATTCACATACCCAATACACAGTTCACCCATTTTAAGTATGTAATTCAATGACTTAAATTTTTTTTAATCTATTTTTTTCTTTATTTAAAAGGCAGAGAGACAGAGGGATCCTTCCATCTGCTGGTTCACTCCCCAAATGTCTGCATCAGCCAGGGCTGAGCCAAGCTGAAGCCAGGAGTCCCTTATGGGAGGCCAGTGACCCAAGGACGTCAGCTGCCACCTGCTGCCTCCCAGAGTGTGCATTAGCAGAAAGCTGGCTCTGAAGAGGAGGAGCTGGGACTCGAACCAGGCAGTGTGATATGGGATGTGGGTGCCCCAAGTGCAAGTGGTGTCTTAACTGCTTCGTTAAACACCCACCTCCAAATCAGTGGATTTTAGTTAAGTCCCAGAGCCATGCAGCCATCACCCCCTGCCTACCTGGGGGCCACACAGAGAGAAAGAGACACAGAGAGAGGAGAGAATCTTTGGGTCTCCCACATGTGTGCAGGGGCCCAAGGACTTTGGCCGTCTTCTGCTGCCTTCTCAGGCACATTAGCCCAGAGCCAAGTAGAGTAGCCAGGACTCCAACCGCCGTCCATACGTGGAAACTTAACCTGCGGTCACAGAGCCGACCCCAAGCAGGTTCTTAAAAAAAATTTTTTTTAATCTATCCTCATTTTATTTGAAAAAAAGGCTGCGAGACAGAGACAGGTGTGAGAGATGTCCCATCCACTGTTTCAATCCGCAATTACTTGAAACAGCTGGGGCTGGGCCAGGCTGAAGCCGGGAACCGGGAACTGAGTGTGGGTCTCTATGGGGGCAGCAGGCACCGCCGCCTCCCAAGTGAACATTAGCAGGAAGCTTGGATTGGAAGCAGAGGAGCTGCAAACCCAGGCGTCCCCAGCGACGTCTTCACTAAGCCCCGGCCACGCCGGCCCCCTGGGGGTCTGGTTTCTGTGCCTCCCCCTGCAGGAAGTGGCTACTATACTACCTCCTAGCTCCTGCCTGGGAGCCAGTGAGGGCAGGGGAGGGTCGGAGGGGGCCTTCGCTTAACGCTGTCAGTTTCCTTAACACCTGGAAGTCTTGGCTGCTCCTCCCTCCCTCTCTCCTGGGGGAGGGGAGCCTTGTTCTAGCCCCTCCCCACTCTGACCACTCTGCGTGACCGCCCAAAGCCCGACGATAGGCTACGGTATCAAACTTAATAAATGCAACAGTTACAATTTTTATTTCTAATATAAAACTCGTAAAATTTCTAAACTTTCACCAGAAACTAGAAGACTATAACATAAAAATATTATATTCACAATAGTTACTGTTAGTTTTCCTCTTGATGTCTTTCCATTGTTATCCATTTATTCCTTGGGTATTTATTAAGCATCTACTACGCCAGGCCTGGGTCAAGAGTCTGGAACGCAGCCACTTGCCAGACAGGTGAGGAACGCCTGCAGGACAAACTCAGCAGGTAATTGCACAAGTAACGGCAAGTGTCACACCCCTCCCTGCCCTGCACTGCCCATCCAGTGGACGGGGCTGTCCTCAGGCCGACGAGCGGGCCGGGAGCTGGGGACGGGAGCGGGGAGCCGGGAGCGGGGAGCGGGGAGCCGGGAGCCGGGAGCCGGGAGCCGGGAGCGGGGAGCCGGGGAGCCGGGGAGCCGGGAGCCGGGGAGCCGGGAGCCGGGAGCCGGGAGCCGGGAGCGGGGAGCCGGGAGCGGGGAGCCGGGAGCCGGGGAGCCGGGAGCCGGGAGCCGGGAGCCGGGAGCGGGGAGCCGGGAGCCGGGGAGCCGGGAGCCGGGAGCCGGGAGCCGGGAGCGGGGAGCCGGGAGCCGGGAGCCGGGAGCGGGGAGCCGGGAGCCGGGAGCCGGGAGCGGGGAGCCGGGGGCCGGGAGCCGGGAGCCGGGAGCCGGGAGCCGGGGGCCGGGAGCCGGGAGCGAGGAGCCGGGGAGCCGGGAGCCGGGGAGCCGGGAGCGGGGAGCCCGGAGCCCGGAGCCCGAGCGCAGCGCCGCGGCTGCAGGGGCGGCGCTGGCCACCGGGGGGCGGCCAGGAGAGCGTCGCACCGTGCGCCCTCGGGGCCGCAGCCCCGCCCCGGCCCCAGCCTGGCCCCAGCCCCCGCCGCGGCTCAGCTCCTCGTCCGACTCAGCGCCCCAGGATCGTCCCAGGATCGTCCCAGGATCGTCCCGTGCGCTCCGCGCGGCCCCCGGCGCCCCAGGATCGTCCCGCGCGGCCCCCGGCGCCCCGCTCGCCGCTCCCCTGCGTCCTCGGGGAGCCCGCCTGCCCTGCACCCTGGAGCGCCGAGCCGCGAGCCTTTGCCGACTTCCCCGGATCCTCGCGGCCGTCGGGAGCGGCTGCCGTGCTCCGGTGCCCCGGAGAGGTGCGTGCGGGCCGGGCCGTGCGCCGCAGGCCTTGTGCCCCGCGGTGCAGCGGGACTGGGCTTGGAGGCGCGGAGGGAGGGCGGGGGCTTCGTCTCTGCCTGGGGGACGCTCCGCGGCTCAGTGTTTGCTCCAGTGGAGTGGGAGAGCCGTGCCGGTTAGCGGTGGTGACCGCGCGGGGTCAGCCGAGGGTGGGCGCGGCGCTGCGCGCCAGCCCCCTGCGGGACCCGAAGCGGCACCACACACACACCCCCCAGACCCCGAACTAGAGGCGTGCGTGGCCCGAATTCCCGGAACCCTCGGCCCAGTGTAGACGCGCCCTGGCTGCATTCATTGTTGGCCGCGGAGCGCGGGCGTTGGCAGGCGCCTCTGCCTTGTGCGCCAAAGCCGGGCGTTAACTTGCGAGCGCCTCCCGGGTAAGCCCCGGCCTGCGGCGCCTGCTTGCGGGGTTGTTGGGGCCCGCGCGGTGCAGGGCAAGAGCCACCCCTTGGCGACGTCCCCCAGGAACCCGACTTCCGGGGCCTCCCTGCCTCGAGGCCACTCAGCCGGGCAGGCAGCAAGAAATACCCCCGCGCAGCCAACAGCGGGGCTGGCGTCCTGCGTCCACGTTTTGACTCGCTCACCCTGGTCGGGCTGCTTAGCGTCTCTGGCCCTCAGTTTTCTCATCGGTGAAATGGGTGCAGTGTTAGCCGTCCACGTCTTGGTGTCGTCAGCAGGACTGATGTGTCAGGTGTTTAGAACAGTGCTGAGCACACGGTGGCTCAGATCAGATGGCTGAGAGCCCCAGACGGGCTGCAGAGTGGCAGGAGCTGAGTGGCATAATTTGCCCCCCGCCCCGATTTTGCCGAGGAGGAACCCCCACTCTGAAAGCCCCCTGAGTGGGAGCCAGCCACGGGGACAGCAGACTCTGATAAGCAGGATGGACCGAGTGGGTTGGGAAGGTGGGGATACTGAGCGAGTCTGTGGGAGCTGAGTGGGGGTGGGGAGGGTTATCCGGAAGGCTTCCCGGAGGAGGTGCTGGGAAACACGCCCCGGGAAAGGAGGTAGGGGCTAGAGGTGGAGGCCAGCGGGGTGGGGTGGGGGGCCTCCCTTCTCCCAGGCCTCCTTCGAACTTGACTGTTCCTTTCTGCATTGAGTTGTTAATTCAGCAAATACTGTGAGGTCACCTGATGTTGGAGGTGGTGGCCCTGCTGGGGGGGCGGGGCCAGAAGGGGGTGTGAGGGAGGCCAGAAGTCCGGGCCTCAGTTTACCTTGACCGTCTGCACGGTAAGATTTATAACTTGAGTGCTTTTTGTGACCTAGCAATACTTGGAAAATTAGGAACTTATCACTGACTTGATTTTTAAAACACCCTGGTGGGGGGCTACCTGGCTGTTTTGGTCTATGGGATGTTGGGATATGAGGGGGAGGTGTGCGTGCCCTTCTCCTGCCCAGGGGGCAAAAGTCTCCCCCTTCCCTGTTTGCTGGGTGAGTGCTGTGGACTCTGGGGAGAAGAGGGAGGCCCAGCCACAAGCAGGACGGAGCCTGGATCCCCGATCGCCGTGGAGCAGAGCCCTCACCCCTCCCCTCCCTTCCCCTCCCCTCGTGATTCCCGGAGAAGACAGCTGTGAGTGGTCTGTTGGCTGTGCTTGCCCCTTGGCTGAGCTGGCCAGGCTGCTCCCCAGGGCCGGGGGACTTTAGGCTTATACTCTTAACACTGCACAGATTCTCCCGAGAATCGTTGGCAGGATTGGGGTGGCCGCTGGGACTCGGGGAGCTACATGGAGAAGGCTCGGGTGAGCAGAAGAAACCACTGTTCGTCCCAGCGCTTTCTCCAGGGTTCGCTGCTTCTGGTCCGATTCTTATACCAGGAGCAGAGGGGGGTGCCTGATGAGGACCGGTCAGAGCGCTCTGGCTGGCGTGAGTACGTGATGAGGACTGGTCAGAGCGCCCTGGCCAGCGTGAGTGCGTAATGAGGACCGGTCAGAGCGCCCTGGCCGGCTTGCCTAAAACGTGGAAACATTTGTGTCAGCGGAGGTCCGCTCTGCTGACCCGGAAGTGCATATCTGGAGAGCGGAGTGGAGTAGCAGGTGCTTTGCAGGTGAGCCTGAGACCCAGGTGGGTCCTAGAAGGTGCTTGGAGCAGCCACAATGCTCACACCTGGGCAGGAAGCAGTCTGGGCCTGCAGGTGTGTGTGTGTGTGTGTGTGTGTGTGTGTGTGTGGTGTCACAGTCTTGCAGCCAGGGCTGATGGACGCAGGGAGGGGCGAGTCAGCGACACGCTGACTTCAGGCAGAAGGCCCAGAGCTGTGGCTCACCCTGGGGAGCCTTGTCCAGGGCGGGAAGCTGGGACGCTCTCCAGAGGTGGCCAGCACTAGTGGCCGGACTGCTGGACATTCCTCTAGGCCTGGGTTCCTCAAACGGCCCCTACAGGACTCCTGTAGTTGATTGTAATTTTATAAAGAAACTTTTTGTTTAAAGATTTATTTATTTCTTTGAAAGGCAGAGTTACAGAGAGAGATTGATTGATTCCCATCTGGTGGTTCACTCCCCAAATGACCACAATGGCTGGGGCTGGGCCAGGCGAAGCCAGGAGCCTCGAACCCTATTCAGGTCTCCCTCATGGGTGGCAGGGGCCCAAGCACTTGGGCCCTTAGCAGGGAGTTGGATGGGAAGTGGAGCAGCCCCCAGCAATGGTTAGCCCTGGGCTACCCTTTACTATAAGTAGGTCTGGAATGAGCTTAGCTTATTTGCATATCTAGCAGGTTCGGTGGGAAGTGATGACTGAGTTCAAAGCCCTGTACTCTGCCTGCACCAGCTTCAAACCCAGCCCCCCACTTTCTAGCCAAGTGATACAGAGCAAGTCACTTAACCTGTTTCTGTTTCCTCATCTATAGGAGGAAGCCAATATTCTCCTGGAGTTCTGGGGAGGCTGCCTGGGGGAGGCGACATCTAGGCAGGCTTGGCGGAGGGTGGGGGATGAGGCAGGTGAACGAATTTTACGGGTGAGGAAGCTGACGTTCAGAGAGGTTCAAGTAAATTGTCCACAATTTTCTCAGCAAATAGTGGTAGAGCTGGGACTTGAACTCAGATCTTTTCAACCCCGGGGTCTTGCTTGGATGGATCCTTGGTGCTTTCCGTGTCTTCCGGGATCGAGGCTTTCCCACTCAGTGCCCCTGCCCCTGGGTCAACTAACTGAGCCCCTTGTAGTTAGAACCCTGTTGTCCCCGCTCCTCCGCCCGCCTGTCCCCAGCTGTTCCTTCACGGGTGTAGCGTCTCTTGGGCACCGATGGCGCACGGCGGCATTGGCTGGGAGCGGGAGAGGAAGCAGACACAGCCCCTTTTGTTGGAGACGCTGGCATGAGTGGGCCACCAGGAGGGCTGTGCAGACACGGCACTGCTGTGAGAAGTGAGACGTGCTGTTTCCGCGGTCTGACCTGCCAGGAGGACACCGTGTCCTGGGGACGCCAGGAGGTGCCGGGCGGAGGATTAGGCTCATGTTCAGATTCAAGCCCTCTGGTGCATTTTCTAATGAAAGCTGTAATTACGGTGTTGCCTGCTTCCGATTCTAAAATGCATTTTGCTCCCCTCTGAAACGTTTGGCTAGTCCTGTAACGGGACACTTTCCTGTGAGCAAAGCACGGTGCACGTCGGTGGTATTTTTGGAGCCTTTAGCACAGCGAATCCTGACTTCTCTTTTCGGTTTCTGTAGCAGGTGGTTGTTCACATCCATGCATAAGCTAATTTCTCTGTCTCTTTATGGTGTGGGTGGAGATTTAGTGTGGGTGGATATTTGGTGTGTGTTTAAGATTTTTTTTTTAAGATTTATTTTATTCATTTGAAAGAGTTACAGGGAGACAGAAAGGGGGGGTTCCATTCGCTGGTTCACTCCCCAAATGGCCCCAATGGCTGGAGCTGAGAGGGTCTGAAGCCAGGATCCAGGAGCTGCTTCCAGGTCTCCTACGTGGTTGCAGGGGCACCAACCCTTGGGCCATCCTCCCGGCTGCATTAGCAGGGAGCAGCCAGGACAGGAGCCAGCGCTCTGGTATGGGGTACAGGTGTTACAGGCAGTAGCTTAGCTCCGGTGTGGGGTGCGGGTATCACAGGCAGTGGCTTAGCTCCGGTGTGGGGTGCGGGTGTCACAGGCAGTGGCTTAGCTCCGGTGTGGGGTGCGGGTGTTATAGACTGTATCTTAGCTCCGGTGTGGGGTGTGGGTGTTACAGACAGAGGCTCAGCTCCGGTGTGGGGTGCGGGTGTTATAGACTGTATCTTAGCTCCAATGTGGGGTGCGGGTGTTATAGACAGTGGTTCAGCTCCGGTGTGGGGTGCGGGTGTTACAGACAGAGGCTCAGCTCCGGTGTGGGGTGCAGGTGTTACAGACTGTATCTTAGCTCCAATGTGGGGTGCGGGTGTTATAGACAGTGGTTCAGCTCCGGTGTGGGGTGCGGGTGTTATAGACAGTGGTTCAGCTCCAGTGTGGGGTGCGGGTGTTACAGACTGTATCTTAGCTCCAGTGTGGGATGTGGGTGTTACAGACAGAGGCTTAGCTCCGGTGTGGGTTGCGGGTGTTACAGGCAGTCGCTTAGCTCTGGTGTTTGGTGTGGGTGTTACAGAGAGAGGCTCAGCTCCAGTGTGGGGTGCGGGTGTTACAGGCAGTGGCTTAGCTCTGGTGTGGGGTGTGGGTGTTACAGGCAGTGGCTTACCCTACTCACCACTACACTGGCCCCAGAGATTCGCTTTTTACAAGAGGGGGAGGGCGGGTGAGGGAGGGCTCTCAGAATCCCACTAGAATCGTTCCGGAGCGGGCTCCTCGGCCCCTGCCCTGGCCCTGCTGACATTTCCACCGGAGAATTCCTCACAGTAGGCGCTGTCCTGTCTCCGCCTGCTACATGCCAGCTGCACGCTCACAGTCACGGCAACCCAAGAGTGCCCCAGCCTTTGTCCGCTGTCCCTGGAGGGGACAAAGCTATCCCGGATTGAGAGCCACTGTGCTCTGGACGGAGCTTCCTTGCTGAGACCGATTTCGCCAGTCTCGCGGCATGAAGCAACGCAAGGCTGCTGAGTTGCAGTTCTGGGGCTCAGAAGCTGCACAGCCGAGGTGTCAGAGGGGACGTTCTTCCCTTGCCTCGTGGCCCCTCGGGCCACCCTCTTCACGTCTCTCTCTTTGCTCTGTGCTGTCGTCACATCCTTTCCTCTAACTCTGACCCTCCTGCCCCCTTTGCATAAGGACCCCTGTGAGTACTTTGGGCTTCCCAGGTAATCCAAGACAACCCCCTACCCCCAACTCAAGCCTCTTAGCCTAATCACACCCAACAGTCCCTTTTGCCATTAAAGGTAAAATCACAGACCCTAGGGGTTAGGGTGGTGGGGGGTGGAGACACTCTTCTGAGGGCCTCCTGGACTGTTGGGTCTCTGGGTGTAGTGGAAGTGCTGGGTTGGGGGCGGGGAGGGCAGTGGTTCCGGGCTGCAGGAGTGGAGCAGTCAGGACAAAAACAGCTGGTGCTGTCCAGTGCCTGATGTCTGTGAATGCTCAGAGCACCCCCTGGGGTCAGGGGGCTGCCCCCTTTTTTACCCAGCAAGACCCAGGGAGGGTTTTCTGGTGGTAGGAAATGTGAGCTGGATGTGGAAAGGGGCAGAGTGCGTGAGAAAGCGTCCTGGGCAGGGGGACCTGCAGGATCTGGGGCAGGCGGGTCAGGAGAGCTGGGTTGTGAATGGGGACTGGTGCTTGCCGGGAGGGGAGGGGAGGGGAGGGGGGGCAGAGAGGAAGGGGCACCTTGGGGATAACCGACTGTCCTGCTATTCTGGCATGAAGAGGGCCCTTCCTCCCAGTAGGTTAATTGAATGTTTATTGATGAGTACTTACCACGCGCTGGGAGTGCAGACATTAATAAGACACTGACATAGACTCTACTCCATGCCTAGTAACTCCTAGTGTGCATCGCCAGGAAACAAAGTACAGGAGGTGGGCGTGGAGAGGTGGGGTGGGGGCGTTGTGGCGCAGCAGGTTAAGCCGCTGCTATGATACCGGCATCTCTTGTGTCAGCACCGGGTTCTGATCCCAGCTGCGGGGCTTCTAAATCCAGCTTCCAGCTAAGGAGTCTGAGAAGCAACAGATGACGGCTCAGGTGCTTTATTTATTTGAAAGGAGGGGGTGGGAAGAGATGGGAGGGGAATCTTCCATTTGCTTTTTCGCTTCCTAAATTCCCCGACATCCAGGGCTGGGCCAGACTGAAGGTGGGAGCTTGGAACTCCGTCTGGGTCCCCCCGTGGATGGCAGGGACCCATCACCTGCTGCCTTCCAGGGTTCACGTGAACAGGAAGTGGAGCTGGCACTCCAACCCAGGCACTCTGGTAGATGAGGGCAACCCCTGCGGTGTCCTAACCGCGGGGCCAAATTCCCACCCCTGTTTCTTGTTGGAAGGAAACAGGAATGCAGCCGGGACTCAGAGTGCACCTGGCACAAGCCGGCTGCAGCCCAGGGCAGCCTTGCTTTGCGCGGTTTCCTACTCTAAGATAACTTTCAGAGGCTGGCAGTCGCTTCCCCTGGGCCCCGCAGCTCCTGTCATTGGCAAATGAGATGGTCCCCAGTGAGTGTTTTGCGCGTGTGGTCTGACTGTCTTACTTCCGGAATAGTTAAGCCTTTTTGAGGCTAAAGGGAGCAGAGGTCTCTTCTGCTTTCTTATCACCCATCTGCAGCACAGAAGCTGCCCCATCCCCCTCTCTGATGGCGAGAGGAACTCCGCTTCTACTTGGTAGGAGGAGAGAGAGTTCTTGGACCAAGAGCTAAAGGAACCCCAAAAGACCTACCTACCAGTGTAGGAGGTGAGGAAGGGACGTGGTGAGGGGAAGAGAAGCGAAAGCGCCATTTATCATGCCAGGAAATCAGCAAGACTAAAGCAGACAAGAAACAGGGAAAGCATATTATTTAGAGATGTGGAGCTATCTGCTAGGGGTGACACTGAAAACAGTTGGAA